CGTAACATCTGGGCCGCTCCAAGTGAAACTAGTATCGTCCGCAAAGAGGCAGATTTTACCGCTAATGTCTAGATTTGCAATGTCGTTGATAAACACCAGAAACAAAATACGGCCAAGTACTGAACCCTGATGGACACCACATTCTATTAGTGATGGGCAAAACTGTTATTTTTAGATAACAGTTGAAACTGTTATAGTTATTTATAAAAAACAGCTTAAAATAACAGCTTAAAAATAACAGGTTTCTTTATTTTATTGCTAAATATCTGAAAGAGTATGAAGCGGTCGCCGCCAGGCGTATTGACGCAGTTGCAAGTTGCTACAATGACATACTCGGTGGTAGTATTTCCAGGGTGTCTAAACATTTCTAAATATCGATTGTTATCTAAAATACCTCTCTAAAAACGGTCGTTGTTTACAAATAAGCGCTGTTTACAAATTGCGATATAAAAAAGCCAAAATTCCGCCACTCGTCTATACGTATACATTCCGATCTACCTACGCCTTGCCCCTCGATCGGCGTAGATCCTGAATTGCGTAGCAGTGTACAGGGTGCATCTCACTCGACGGGCAAGAAGCTCTTAGTTATAATTTTACCATTTGTGGTCAAAAAATAGCAATATAAGAAAATGTGTAGTATATTCTTCATAAGTAAACCAACTATACACTAGAGTTCGAATTAATTTTACACTTAAACTAGCGTGTACCCGCGACTTCGTTCGCGTCGAATTAATAATTTGTAATGGTGATGATAAAGCAAAGCAAGAATTTCTATTGACATACAAACTGGATAAAATTTTCTCACATTTGCCAAAAATAAGCTTTAAACGTCGAGCAGTTTAAGCAGAATCGTGGTTAATCAATTACTCAACTTTTTGGAACACCCTGTATTATTTTTTAAAAAATTTCAAAATATGTAAAAAAACAAAATAAATTATGCGTGTCCAAGCGTTTTCCCGAAAGACTAACCGTTTTTTAAATAACAAATATTGTAATATTTGAGGGGCGTTTTCACCCTCTTGGAATTTAAGATTCGAGAAACCCCTCCTTATCGAACCTCAACCCCACAGTCAATCCGTTTGCCAAAAATCAGCTTTAAACGTCAAGCAGTTTAAGCAGAATCGTGATTACTCAATGGTCACATTTTATGAAACACCCTGTATATATTTTTAAAAAATCTTAAAATATGTAAAACAACGAAATAAAATATACGTGTTTAAGAGTTTTTCCGGAAAACTCACCGGTTTTTAAATAAAAAATATTCTAATATTTGAGGGTGGTTTCACCCCCTTTGAATTCGAGTTTCGAAAAATCCCTTCTTATCGAACCTCTACACCCTAAAGTCAATCCGTTTTCCAAAAATCAGCTTTTTACGTCAAGGGCTTTAAGCAGGATCGTGATTAATCAATGACCAGATTTTTCAAAACACCCTGTATACATTTTTAAAAAATCTTAAAATATTATTCTGAAAATTTTTCAGAATAAATAAATACCTAAATATTGAAACTTAATAACGTACTGAAACATACAGCGCCATAATATCTCGACCTCCGCCCGTTATGCTCGTAACAGGTTGAAAAACAATATATCTAAAACAACTGATGCGTTATTCTCCAACCTGTTTCGAACTTCCATCGACAATCGACCGATGCAGCAGCCTTCCTTTCCCACTCCTGTTATCTCGACCGCCAGGCGTTATGCCCGCAACTGTTTCAAAAAACCTGCTTCTTTTATATCCTATTATTTTTAAGCTGTTATAAGCGCAATACGACCGTCGAGGGATCGACCGAAGCAGCTACGTTCGCCGTAGCGCATTCCCCACTCCGTTGTCCGTTGTCTCGCCGCCTGTATCGATGGTTGACGAAATAACAGGTTTTCCATCCATACTAGTTGTTTTTTGGAATTGCTTCGAGCAGCATAGAATTTCGGGGCGGTGCAGAGCGCCGACTTCGTTTTTCGTTTTACGAGCGGCCGATCTCTACGTGTCGTTATTTTATATCTGTTATTTTTTAGAAGCAGTAACGGTTGCGTTATGTTATTTCTAAATAATTGTTATAAAATAACAGATAGTTAAATAACAACCCATCACTACATTCTATAGGGTTACAAGAAGACATAGACGTAACAATCCTCACAAGCTGCCTTCTGTTGCCAAGATATGACTTAAGCCATTCGAGCGGCACTCCCCTGAATCCATAGTATTATAATTTGTTAATTAAGATATTATGATTTACACAGTCGAAAGCCTTAGAGAAATCACAGAAAATTGTAGCTGTAGAGTGATGGTTATTCAGGCTAGAGCATACATTATTAAAAAGGTCGAACATAGCATTATTTGTGCAACTGTTACTTGAAAATTCAAATTGCTGGGTAGTAAGTACTTTATATTTAAGGAGAAAAGATAGAAACCTTTTTTTAACCAAGCTTTCAATGATCTTAGATAATGTGGGCAGGAGAGGAATTGGGCGATAGTTCGAAGCTTCATCTTTATCTCCTCCTTTATGCAGAGGAATAATTATTGCTGTCTCAATCATCTCCTGACAGCGCTGTTCGGCTGTCTGTGAAGATAGTAGCTGAACGGTGTGTTCGTTCCTGCCTTATTATTATTATTAATTTATATCGAAATAAAAAACTATAAGACATTATTTGTATAGTGCTATATAATTTTTGCTAATTCCAAAGCCCAATTACCAACAAATTCCGCCTGTCGCTGTCAAGGTCTGATAATAAATTACACGGAATCGAAAACACACGACAGAAAAACTGTCACAATTAACCGCCGTTTTGTCTAACGGCTTGCTGGTTCTTCAAACGACTTTCTTCCATAAAAAGCCGGAAACCACACACGAAAGACGTCTTGCCTATTCTTCGTGTAATAATAACAACAACCTCGGACGGCAGATGTCAAGGATATCAACGCCAAAAAGAAGAAACGAGTTCCATTATTTAGAGTAGGTACGAAAGATTTTTTTAGCTTTTTGTTGTTTTGGTTTGACTTTGTTTTCCCATTTCTAATGCCGCACTTCACCAATGTTTGTTGATATCATTGATTGGCACCTCTCTGAATTTTTTTATATTTATGTATTATATTTTTAAGAAAGATAATATTAATTCTAGAAAATATTACTTACTTACTGCGCCATTACTCGCCGACGAGTATTTCACACGCATCAGAAGATGGTTACGCAAGGCGTTTTCTTTCATGAGTTTTTCTGTGACTGAAAAGCCCGATACGTGATGTTATCTCTCTTCCGCACTCCGGACATTCAAGAATCTCATTACTTTGTTGCCTCTTTACCTTTTGGTTGTCGTTGTTAATTCGGTCATGCCGGTGTATAAATTATTTGATTGTGCTAGAAATAAGAACCACACACAAAGTGATATCGTACATTCTTATGCAGTATTGGAAAGATTGTAATGTGGTAGTAGAGGCACAAAAAACTGTAACTGAGCGTTAAGGATGTGACATGAAGTTAATGAAATTTAAATTCCTTTCAAACTTCAATTCCTTTCATGAGCCAATCCAAGTACTCGACTTTAGCTGGGCAAAAAATTATTCTCTTTAGCAGAATGAAAACTTTGTGTTTTTTCATGGATAACTTTTCAACCAGGACCACATTAATGTCAACCATTGTCTATACCGGGTGCGTCTCAAAAGTGGCTCACCCCTACAACTTTTTTACTTTTTCAGTTAAAAACGAAATTTGGTATTTTAGTATATGACATAAATTAGGATTGATTGACGTATTCTATTGTTTTCGGTCACTTCCTGTTTCACGGGAAATGACTACAACTTTTGATTTTTAAACGGCACCTTCGGTATTTTTTTACTTTATTCGATAGAAAATAACATTCTGAAAAAAATGACATATCATATGTCAACTTTTGACATTTTCGCATATGGTTTATTTGAAATTATAACTTGCGGTTCGTAAGGAAAATTTGACTGGAAATATCAAGTGTGTGGTGTCAAATTGTTCGTAAATAAATGCTTTTTTAGCCAGGCCCAGGACAAAACACTAAAGACATTGGGCGATCAAATCTATTTTTCCAAGGCTCCTTGATTAAGAATTATTGTTGTTTTTAACATAGCCATGGCACTCTAGATTGTATTTAAAATTCAATTTTTGATTAAGCGAAAATGTCAAAAATTGACATATGATATGTCATTCTATTCAGAATGTCATTTTCTATCGAATAAAGTAAACAAATACCGAAGGTGTCATTTAAAAATCAAAAGTTGTAGTCATTTCCGGTGAAACCGGAAGTGACCAAAAACAATTGAACTCGCCAATCAATCCTAATTTATGTCATATACTAACATACCAAATCTGGTTTTATTATCTGGAAACACTTTTGAGACGCACACGGTATAGAAACTCAAATAGAAAAAATATATCGTCCTATTGCTGCCAAAAGTCACTAACATTTTTCCGGACAACTAAATTCAATCACTAACTATGTTTTGAAGCGGAGAATCGATTGCAAAAGTCATTAACTACGATTTCTGGCTATTATATTATGTTTTATTTTAATACCGAATAGTTACTAACTATAACATCTTTATGCAATGCAATTCATCTTTAGACGCATTTTTCTCGGAAGTAATAAAAAGTAAGTTAGTGACTTTTGGCAGCAATGGGATATGACCTAGGGTAAAATCAGTATCGGTCAGCAACTAACCTCGTTCTGTAGGCCAACTTTTGAAATGCTGTAAAACCTTCTTAACTGTTATGGTGTCGGAATATTTCTTCTAAAACAAAATACTTAAGAGTCAAAATAAATGGTTTATAAAAACTACTGATGTCGAATCAATGGAGATCAATTGGGTAGATATTGACTCTTTATATGATTATTTTATTAGGAATATGTATTATTACATTCATGTTTTAACTGTTAATATTACATATGAATTGTGTGTCTTTTATGATTTAAGAATTGTGTTAACTTTCAACACGCGTTTTGATAAAATCCAATAATATTGTATTTTTTATTTTCAGATAAAAGAAGAGGACTTAAAACATTTGTTGAGTTCGGCAGAATGGAATACACTTATCGGCAAAGAAGGTAAGTTGCTTTAGTATTAATATAGCTAATAAATTTAACAATAGGATAAGTAGCTATTGTATTGTATTTATATTTTGAAATAGTCTGATTAAAAACAAAATCGGAAAAACTCGGGTGCTCCAAATAACTTCGGAAATACTCGGATATTTTTATTTTCAAACCATGACGTGGGGCGCAGGAAGAACAAACTATAGAAGCTGTGCTTTTGTATAATTTAATCTTTGTATCCCTTCTACGACATTCCTGTATACAACTCTTATTTTTATGAGGCACCGTATACAAGGTGTCTCAGACTGAGCGTGCATTAGAAGTTCCTAGAGAACTACAATATCTAGATCGGATATTTTTTGCACATCATTGTTTCATAATGAGATATATCGATTAAAAATATTTTCAATATGGCAGCACTTTCGGAAATACCGGAAGTTGACAGCAACTTTCATATTTTAAATGGGTACCCGTACCCCCATTTTTAATGACATACAAAAATTCTATAAATTTTGATATAAAACACTTTATATCTAACATTACCCGTTATTTTAGGTATAAGAACATGTATAATCAAAAAGTAACGAATTGAAGAACCTTTTCACTAGTGAAATAAAAAAGTGGGTTTCCGTTTGAAAAAAATGATTTATGTTAATTTTATAATCTCTCAGTTCCATGACAGCTACCGCCAATATTATATGTTATATTAAAACTGGGGATCTAAATATATCTAACAAGTAGTTTTTGGAGTATCAATCACATTCTAGAAATAACTTAAACATATTTATTCCGTCTGGTTTATTTTTATCTGTTAGTTTTTATTTTACGAACAATGAACTTTCTTGTTCATTTGCTTTCGTTAATTTCCTATTGTATCGCGACGCCGCGCCGGATGATCAGAAAGTTCTATTTTCTTTTTTCCTCCTCCTATTAACATACAATGGACGAGACTTGCAGTAAAAACTGACGTTTATCGATTAATTAGCGAATATGCAAATTATTCATGAGGTGAGACGCACCATTAAAGCCATTTGCATTTTAGAAATTAAGTGGATTTGCGAGAGTCAGCGGGCTTTTTGCCTGACTCTAATTTTTGTGAAAAAAAGCTCTGTTCCATTGAAGGCATTTGCCGTAACAATGTTTGTCAATTTGACACGTAGTTTTATCCTGACAGTGGCTTACTAGAAAGACATGGCAAACTCTAATCCCGCCACAATATTGCATTAGCGCACACGCTATTTTGACAAGAGAGATATGGCAACCATATGTGGTATTAACGGAGGCGTTATTTCGGCAACTATGACAGTTAAAGTGTCATAATAAGCGTTTGTGCGCTATTAACGTTACCGCATACTGGTATTTAAGTGGATGAGACACCGTGCGGTAATTTGACAGTTTCGGAACGTTATTTTATCAGTTCAGCTACTGTATTTTTTATAAAATTGAGATAACTCTTTAATAGGTTAAATTGTACTACTTTTTAGACACACTTTCTTTTAGACACGAATTAAAACTCCCGATATAATTAATAGCAAATTTTTTGTAAAAATAAAGAAAAATTATGAATATAGTTGTTCTTTTGATTGACAAAATTAGAAAATTAGGTCATGGCTAAATTTTTAAAAATTGTTGGCATAATCGTCAAAATCAATCAACGCTATTTTGTGTTGCCATAACTCGAATTTCGGCAAACGCAAATGTCAAAATAACGTCAGCGCTAATAGCGGAATTGCAGCAGTATTGGACTTATTGCCATATCTCTCTATTACACTTGCCTAATTTAGAGCTGTAGCACCACAAAATAGCTTTGGTAGATTTAGAAAATACGGTATAACTACAATAGTCCGGACTCTTAGTCTAATAGTCCTCTCTAGAATGGCCACTCCATTAATTCGGACATGGCTATTATTCGGTCATTTTAAAACATTTGTCCCTGAAATCCGGGCGCAAAAAAATCATACGCGAAATCTCAGAATTTTCCAATCTGGACAAGCAGAAACGTTTACATCTTGTTTACGAACTGAGTTATACAGGGTGGTCCGTACTGTATTCCGAAAACATTATTTTAATATTTTCTAACTGATGGTTTGAAGAGTAATAATTTTTTGTCCGTACCTGTATAAAACTACTGAGTAAAGAAATATACACTTAAGACGTTTTTTTACGTAAAAAAGGTTTCTCGGTAAAAATCGCTACGATTGATGGTTCTCGAGATATTTGGAATCGAAATTATCAATGTCATCTATACTAATATATAATCGTTAACATAAATTAAGCATGTTGACTAAATAGTTATTAGACTGAAACCATAAATTTGAAATATTTTTGTGCTAAAATTTTAACAGAAACTGAACTTGATGAATAATTTAAAAAAAAGTTCCTAAATTTATCATTTCAGTCAAATAACTATAGTCTATAAAATGAATAACTTTGAATTTTAACCGTTATTTTTTACCAACATGGCAAATATAAAAGCCCTCTATCCAAAAAGTTACTGATATTCTTTAAAATGAGTGCCTGATAGAATCAGATAGGTAACTCTTTTTACTTTCGTAAAATAGAAAAGGAAAATAATAAAACAGGTGACAGTTCTTCCTCTTCTTGCAAAAATCAACGCAAAATGTCATAATTGACAAAAGTAAAATGTCATCAGCCTTTGACATTTCTAAATATCAGACCAATGCCGTCTCTAATAGAACAGCCTCGGAGTGAGATTTATGACGTCAAGCTAGTTAGATACCACGGATTAATAAATATGTTGTAGAATACACGGAAAACATAATTATTCCTCGTACTTTTGGTTTGTATTTTAAAAATGATATAGTTTACATGAAATATACATAATATACAGTTAATAAATATATATATATATATATATATATATATATATATATATATATATATATATATATATATATATATATATATATATATATACCTATTTATAGTAATAAATACTTTGACAAATAAACTATGAACCATACAAATGCATCAAATGTTTTACAATATACAAATAATGAATAGGTACATAAGATAATGGGTAATATGTAAAATATATTTTAAATTTTGGTTTTTGAAAATCGATCTAATTTAACAAAAATATTCAATATCTACTAATAGTGATGTATTATTATTTGCATTCACAAAATTTATATGTATATTTTGCAAGCATCAATGTTCGAGAAATTATATTTGCAAATAATACAATATCATAGAAAAAAAGGCGTCAGCGATGGCTATGAAATAAAGATCGCTGTCATTTTATATGTAAAATTATTCTAAATGTTTTTGTTATAGCTAACGTTTATAGCCTTCATCAGTGTTATGTCATATGAAAAAAATAGTTAGGAATAATTATGTTTTCCATCATTCTACAACATAATTAATCCGTAGTATCTAACTAGCGTGACGTCCTAAATCTCGCTCTGTGGCTGTTCTATTAGAGACGGCATCAGCATGGCCGCAAGTTGCTAACCTAATAAAATTAACACTAGAAAAGCCCGCTGGAACTGGCAAATTCAAAGTTATTCGTTTCACAGACTATATCTACTCGACATGTTTATTTTTTGTCAATAATGATATGTATTGACTATTTCCATTCAAAGTATCTTGAGAACGGTTGCTCGTAGCGATTTTTATAAAGAGCCATTTTTTACGTAGAAAATCACGGAAATGTATATTTTTTCATTTAGTAGTTTTATACAGGTACGGACGAAAAGTTATTACTCTTTAAACCAGTTAAAAATATGTAGGTGGTGCCTTCTACAAGTAGGTGTCATATTGACATCAAAATTAAATTTCTCATGTTAAAAACTCCCATGCATCAATTTTCATCCAAATATTAACGTTAATTCAGAAATTAATTGGAAAAAATCGAAATAAAAATGAAACTTCTACACCCTGTATCTCCAGAACTCATTGTAGGACATATATTTATACGAACTTTTTACTTATTTTTATCTGCAGAATATGCTGCCGAAGTTTTCGGAATACAGTTCGCACCACCCTGTGTATTTCTGTATTGGATTCAAGAGCGGGCCAAACGTAAGATTCTAAGAATTCTATATCTCAGGTGTTTTTTAATACTTTGACTAACTTATGAAGATATATGACTTTAACCTTTTGCCATCTTTCTCGTATGACACCCCAACCCCATACCATATTCAGGATTGTTCTTCTCTTCCATATCTTTATATTACATTATGGAAATTTATAGATATGCTACAATAAACTAGAACATCCTATAGACCAGGTTAATATACTATTACTATATATAATTAATAAGGGAAGTATATATATTTTCTATTTTATATTTAAATCTATTTCATATCTGTATGAAGTAATTAGCTAATATTATATTTAATACAAGTATTTCTCACATTGAATGATGAAAAATGTTAAATTAGAAATTTAGGTTAATAACATGTTAACATAAAGATATTTATTATTAAATATATTGCTACATATAAATGGGAAATAAGGGAATTTCTTAATAATGATTTAATTAATATTAATATAAAATAAAATACCGACTGCACATACAATGCATCGAAAACTTGTACTGGAACCAAACATCACAAATAAAATTGGCCAATACCATGTCCAATCCCATACAAGTTAGAAGGGGGGTGCGACAGGGTTGCGTGCTGTCTCCACTCCTATTCAATTTGTACTCAGAGGCTATTTTCCAAGAGGCTCTAGAGGACGTGGAAATGGGAGTCAAAGTTAACGGAGTGTGGACTAATAACATCCGCTTCGCCGACGATATGGTCTTGATTGCAGATAATATACACGATCTACAACAACTGGTCAACAAGGTAGGAGAACAGAGTAAAGCAATGGGTTTAAACATAAACATCAAGAAAACTAAATTTATGATAATATCCAGAAATCCAGATGTGTTTAAAAACTTCATTATAACATTTAATACAAGGCCCATAGAGAGGGTAGATAAATTCTACTCCGAAGATTGGACATCAGACAAGGAAAATAAATGTCGCATCGAACAAGCT